TAACCAATTTAGAAGTATATCGGCGAGTAACACTTATTCCGCCCGTTAGCAGTTAGGGTTTGATGAAAATGAAAAGAGCTCGTATAGACCTCGGTTTTGATTTCAAGAAAGCCCCAAGCGAGTGTGTTTAAGATAATGATCCAGCCAGACAATCGTTCAAAACTCCACAAACATAGTTGATTGATTTCGATTGAAATGAACTTTTTCGCGCAGAGCGCAGGGGTGAGAATTAGATTGAATGCTTGAGTGAGCACTGATGCTCAGTGTACCGATTGTCCTACAAGCTATAGGGCCGCAGATCCCATTGAGTGGTGCCTGGAGTACCGTAAGGTGCTGAAAAATGTAAGTATCGACACAGATTTAGTTGAAAATCTTACCAGCAAGCATCAGCTCCACTAAACAAAGCCTGAACATGCCACGATTCTCCCTTCGAGGGAATCGATCGAACCACATGGGATTGTACGCCGGATGTTCATAGCCATACGACGGTGGCAACGAAGGTGGTGGAGGAGGAGCAGAGACCGGTGGACGTCCTCGTGTCGGCGGCGCCGCAGACGGATACGGGCCCTTCTCCGACGCTGCTCCCTGAATTCCTTGCTTACGGATTCGAAGGGGGGCAATACCAGAAAACCTAACAGAACTGTGATCGTCTCGAAGTTTCACATGTTTCGCTAACCCGTGCACCTCAAAACACATACTGATTTCACGCCAAAAAAGGAATTATCGATTGCACTACCACCTACCGTACCTGATTGATGGTAATTTCCATAGTGGGAGCAGTAGGAGCCGGTGCATAGTTATACTGGTAGCCCGGGCCGTACTTGTATTCCTTGCCCATGTCCGAGGCGACCAAGGCCACTGGAAAAACATTTAGGAAATCAAAATAAAATAAAACGAATAATAGATGGCGAAAACTAAAAGCATGTAAACTCATTCAGTCGGAAAAGAAGTGAGTGAGAGTTTCTCTCTATAGATGTAGAAGGAATTGGAATGATCATACANGAAAGGAAGCCGAATATGTGGCGCGTCCTATGAGGGATCAGGAAAGTATTAATTCAAAGTACAACCCCAAAACCATTCCCGAAAGTTTTCGCAGATTTGTAAGAAAGGGGATGTGAAGGCGCTACTGATCAGGCACCATGATGATACGACACGGATCCCACTTCGGTCGAAAATTGTAGAAGATTATGGTGGCGCTCCTGAACTCCCCAATCTAATGAGAAGCAAACCGTATTCATCTCATTACCCACCGATTTATGGTTACATGACCAACCGACCTTAAAAGGGGAAGTTCAAATAACTCGGAAAGGCCTCATCAGCAAGTGCTTCATACATCGAAAGCCCAGAACCAGTTTTATCAGTTCGTCAAGGACTAATTTACGTCTTCTCTGCAAATTAACAGATCTCATTGCCCTTTTACGCTACGATGACGGAAAGAATCAGAAGAACCTCGGTAAAACGGTCCAGTTGGCTACCATGTGGGTGCAAAAATCGATTAAACTGCCTACAACTCATGACTTTTCAACGATTCCCAGCTCGGATGACCCCAATTCGTTTAGAGAGACCTGGTCGTTGAACACTTTTCAAAATACGATTGGAAGCATTTTAGAAGGCTAATGTTAAGGGGTTATTGCGTTGACCAGTTGATTTGGGATGCGCCATACAAATAACATCTCTGAAAAACTTTTGGTTCATTGCTTGATTTTGTGGACCACTCTGCCGACCAGTTCAGACTTCTACTGCTCCGGAGTAGGTGCCACTAATTGATTACTCAATTGAGGTCGATGGAAGCCGATCCTGGAAGCAGCCCCAACAACGGCGGCGCCTTTCGCCTTCCTACCACTCCTGGCCCGAGCGGCAATCTAGCATCAGAAGAGCTCAAAACGATGCGTTATGTAGAGAAAAGGTCGTCAACGAAATGAAATTTGGTGGCGGTGGCTTCCGGAACACGCGCGAAAACTGAAAAACGGACAAAAGAAAAGCTAACAAACTGAAAAAAAGACGTTCGTCTCAGCGAGATCTTCCAGTTCCTGTTTGATGATGTGCACAAGAGTAATTCGGGTCGCGATGGAACGGGACGGGATGAAATCGATCGAAACGATGTGATGTAACATTCTAGTTGTAGAATTCAATTTACAAAAACAAACAGCAGAGTATGTCTCAAACATTGATCATTCGAGAGTTCTTCCAAGTATTCTAATTGAAAAGCAGAAAACGATTGAAAAGTTGCAAACAATGGGATTGTCGTTACTGAAATTCAAAGTCACCTATCACTTAAAACGAATGGAGCTTCCCGGAAGTAACAGACTCGCCGAGTAGAGAGGAATGAGTGCGCAGATCTCAACGAAAATGGTATTGGGAATGCGGAAATGGATTCAGATGATGCACTAATTGCCTGCTAAAACTCGCAATCAAATTCGCAAGGAAAGGCGGGTTCTCGAAAAAGGAAAAATATGGTGCGGGTATCAAAAATCGCGCGACGGTTACTAGTTAGTTNCGCCGCGCAAAAGAGCGAATGGATAGCCCCTTCACAAAGTGGTCGAAGCCAGGAAGATTCCAAACTGTGAGCGAGAAAGCGCCCTGGAGCAGTTTGCAGAGTTACTTCCCATTCGGGAGAAGGCTGCAGAGTGGCCAAAAGCAACGCTACCAAAACCATGGAAGATTTCAGGGAGAAATAATTGCAATGACTGAAAACCACAGTTAAAGTTATTGCGTATCAAAACGCCAAAGCGACTAGGACGGGTGGCGAATCTTGACAGAAGTGATCAAATCGACAGCTCCATCTCAGTAATATTTTACCATATTATTATTATTTGTATTATATTGTGACGGCTCTAAACATCGCAGAAATTACAAGTGACGGAAGCCATCGCACAATTTTACGATGTTAAAGAACTAGCAATGGGGAGCATTCTGCTCAATCAGGGTGAGGCCACCCCTGGAATGACTTCCAATCGAACAGCAAAAAAGAAACAAACTAACGAAGCGAAGAAGTTGACTCAATCACCGGCACGCTTGTTTGCAAATGATAACATTGAGGTGTCAATAGGTTCGGTTTAACGCTTTGCTATAGTTAACAAGGTTCCACTATGGCAGCTTAGAAATGCTGAACCGCTTACAAGGTTTTTTTTTACCAACAAGCAGCACCTGAATCGATTAGAATGATTCGAGATAGAGGAATAAGAATGTCAGGATGAAATAAGAATTATGGGTTCAGAACTGAAGTGAGTGGGGTCGTAGTGGGACTTAAATCGGGAAATGGAGATAAACCATTAACAATGTCAAGATCTGAGTTACAATTCGAGTTTGGATTTGGTTCGTTGGCGAACTTAATAGACCAAAAATCAAAGAGAATCTCCCGGAAATTAGAGCTACCATAAAGATCTCAGTTTCTGCGGGATCAAGGTACCGAAATAATAGGAAGAGGAGTGAAAAAATATCGTACAACGAAGCGTGGAATAATGTCCTTTACAGTGTCTTCAAGTGCTTCTAGTCAAAGCAAAATTCTCATCGATCACTGGGCTTCAAGAAACAATGGAGTAGTAGGTGCCAACAAATGGGATATCAGTAAACAACAAAAGACATAAGATGTCTGGGAAAACCAGCAGGTTAAGGTGCCCATATTTCGGCCAATATCCATCTATTTCACATACAAATCGATAAACTAAACGGAGTATTGGTCTCATGACGCTTCCCACTTTAAACAATCACATAAACCGTAATTCAACTTGACAGGCGCCCCGGTCACGAGACCATGATTTCAAAAAAAAACTGTGAAGTCTTGAATTATTATAATATGAACTGATCGTGCATGAAAAACGAAAAAGCAAATAAATTTTTATATCATAAGAAGTATCTAATAAGTTGATAAAGCAACCTGAGCAGATCGCATGAATAGCTGCATCTATACCATATTGACTAGTTATAAAGTCGCATATCATAACAATAAGGACAAGTGACGAATAAGCTGTCATTAAGTCAAGTTTAGAGGGCTTGCTATAACAGCCAGCACATCGAAGACCTCAGTGTCAAACCTTGTACAATGTCTCGCTTGCATCGTGCTCTTGCAATTATTATAGATTTGCCCAAAGCAATAGGTGGGTGGCACAATCCCACAAGTCGCGCGTTCATAAGCTAAACCTAATGTCACACAAGCCCTAATGTCACAGTGTCGAAAATTCCACTGTGCTATCGCAAAGATGCTGGATCATGAAAAAGGTTTACGGCTATGTGCTTTCAAGTCTCTCCGGGAAGCACAGGTCCAAATTCAAGTCGCCCGGGTCTGAATATTTCCTTGTTGCAACAAAAGAAATCGGGAAGATCATCAAGGGGACCTAGAAGATTGCATAGAAGGCATAGAATAGGGGAAAAATCGCAGTGGTAGATGACTACATATAGCGCTTAGAAACAGATCTACGGCGCCAATGAATGATGAAAATGAACTTCAACAGGACGGCTTTTCCCTCTAATCGATCATGTGCTCTCTCTGTTTGCAAATGGGTTTTCAACAGAAGAACCTTCCATATAGTTCACAGAAAATGAGTATCCGAAATCACATAATCGATGCCATCAAGTGAGCGAACTGCTTCGAAACAACGAAATAAAACAAGTGCTAAGCCTCTCAAGCATGGAATGAGTAAGTTCGAGAAATCAATGATGTTCGCCATTAGTTTGCAATCATATCAGACGGCAAAGTGAGACCAAAAGACGGCGAAAGAGAAGTGCGGGGAGTGGGTGGGTAACCGCCAGCATGCTGTGACGGACGAGACCATCGCTCGATGGAATGCAACGAAGAACTGTCGTTAAAAGAACAACGAACGCTGTAGTGATGACATAATGAGGGGGTTTGTTGAAGGTGGGATTTGGCTCGGAGCCAATATCCACAAACAAATGGATGTGATGAAGTCTTCGGGCCGTACTATTTTGTGAGTTTAGCTGTTACAGCGAGACGAGCTTCGAAATGATGAAAGACGATATTCCACCGATGAATGGTGGATTTCCGAGCCAATTCCCTTCTCAACCAAACAGACTTATGGGAGCATGCGCATTTCGAGTGTGGAGGTGAAGATGGAAGGCGTCGATAGCGCACACATGCTTCATGGGTCAATCATGCCCAGACATACCAAACGCTCTATCCCATATTTTAAGTGGGGATCAGTAACATATGGGATTACTAACTAAGTAGACAGAACAGATCTGCACGTTGGAATAATAGCTGTCCTGAATCATTGCATGGAGTAAATACGCATTTAAATGCAGCCACGATCATGAATGGAATCCCATTGCAAGGCGCATCCCAGAAAACGATTCATAGAGGATCAGCGCTCTAGTCTGCCTCTTACACTTCCTTTTCTGTTCACTCACTCATTTGCATCCTTCATTCACTCAGAAGGATCGAAGGTTGCTGTTACTGAAGACTTTGAAAATTGAAAAACCAATTCTTATTCAGCAGAGGATAAGATTGGAGGACGAAAGTAGACGGACGTAGCCAGTCACAACAACGATGAACGGTGCCTGCGTTGGTGGCCGTTATGAGCCAGCCAAAAATGAA